CGAGACGAAACATGGGAATATAGTAAGACGATGTTTCACATCCAGGAATTTGCAACCGAAGGTCTAAGAACTCTATTATACGCTCACCGATTCTTGAGTGAGGATGAATATAACACATGGAATAAACATTTTCAAGAAGCGTCGACCGCTATAGAAGATCGAAAAAAAAAGTTGGAACAAGTAGCCGAAATGATTGAACGTGATTTAGAAATAACAGGAGCAACCGCGATCGAAGATAAATTACAGGAAGGTGTTCCCGAGACGATCGATAAATTACGACGGGCGGATATTAAGATTTGGATGCTGACTGGAGATAAACGAGAAACAGCAATTAATATTGGGTATTCATGTTCTTTGATCAAGAATTTTTCAAAGACGCTTATCATAGATTCTACTATTCCGGATCTCAACTTGAAGCTAAAAAAAGCCAAGGAACAGATTGGTGACGGTAAAGCGAAACATACCGTGGCGGTAGTAGACGGTGCGACTTTGATGGTTATTGAGAAAGATGTGGAGCTAATGGAAACATTTATTGAACTAGGGATATTGTGTGATGCAGTTATCTGTTGTCGCGTGAGTCCAGCACAGAAAGCACTCGTAGTAAGGAACATTCGAGAAAAATTGAATAATACGGTAACCTTGGCAATTGGTGATGGTGCAAATGATATTGCGATGATTCAGGAAGCCCATGTTGGGATCGGAATCACAGGACGAGAAGGATTGCAGGCCGCAAGGTCTAGCGATTACTCGATAGCTCAATTTCGATTTCTCACTAGCCTGTTATTCGTTCATGGACGGTGGTCATATGTCCGGGTGTCAAAATTTGTATTAGGAACATTTTATAAATGCATGTGTTTTTATTTGACCCAAGGGATATTTCAATTGTTTACTGGATTTTCGGGGACAAGTTTGTATGAAGCATGGACATTATCTTTATATAACACATTATTTTCTTCTTTGCCGGTTATAGTGATTGGCATGCTAGAAAAAGATTTAAAACGCGAAACACTTATAGGTGTTCCTGAGCTGTATCAATTCGGACAACGTAACGAAGCATTTAACCTTAAATTATTCTTCTCATGGATGAGCGCAGGATTATTTCACGCTGTGGTGATAGTTTTCACACCGGCTCTATTACACGGAATATTCTTTTCGAATGAATTGCATGCCTTAGGAACTCCGCAGTTGTATGAACTTGGATTAGTATCATACACCAGTGTAGTACTTATAGTAACAACCAAAATAGCATACTTGGAATGTCACAACTGGACGTTGATAACACATATTACATCGTTTTTGACACTCTGTGGATGGTTCTTGTGGCAAACCGTTTATTCATTTGCGTATCCAATTGGTAATACTACGGTGTATGATGTACATGGAACTTTCCAACGAAGTGGAAAAAATTTTGAATTTTGGGTGTCGACATTATTAACGGTGTCTTTGGCATTGATACCAAACCTAGCGTTGAAAACGGCTAAATCCATTATATTACCAACGGATGTAGATGACTATCAAGAAATAGAAAAGGATACGGAACGATTACAAAAAAAAATTGAAGAGGGGGAAAAAAATAATGAAATTGAGGAAGACATTGATGTGTTGCATCCGAGTGGAATAAGAAATGAATCGCGAGAGACTAGAGAGGAGAATGGTGAGAAGAACAAGAACAAATTATATTCAGAACGAGACACAGTAATGAATATCACCAACAATAGCGGAGGGGTGATACCGCCTAATGATCAACAGAGATACCCCGACGAGAATTCTTCATCAGCGTCTCTAATACATCATCATGATGGTTCTTCAATATCACTATCGTCTAAGCTACATTCTAACGAATCGCCCTATCAATACAGTAAACGATAATAATGGTTATGGCTCGGGGGACGTTAATTTTGTAAATTTTAAAAATCAAACCATTTACTTTGTAAATTAATTTTCTTGACGTTAAGTCCACGATTGGCTCAACTCTTATTGTATATTAGTTCCATTATTGTTCTCTTAATTCCTTATTTAGATGTAAACTGGAGAAAGAAAAGGTGTTAGTAAATAAGCGTTTTTTTGATCTAGCATTTGGTTAGCATGCACGCGTGCACGTGTATATACACATATTATGAATCGGCAATTTCCATCAAAGATGCCGACAAATGATTTTTCAGACTCTATTTATATATAGTGCAAATTTTGGGATCAAAATTATAGGGTCCAAAAATCCCTGTAAATAATTCGAATAAAGAATCAAATTTTAAAATAGAGAAGGAAAATAATTTTTTTATCAACTAGTAAAAAATAAAAAATAAAATTCAAGAGAAAAAAATCAATATTTAATGCGTTCACCTTTAACCTTAATTAATCTTCTTAATACATTTCAGAATTTCATTTTGAATTATTTTATTGAATAAAATTAAGAATAAATTTTTTTTATTGTATAACATAAAATATTAAATATTATAAAATTTAATGGTATTTTTAAAAACGTTTGTTAAATACGTATGTTTTTAATATTTCTTACTAATATTTTATTAGTAAATTTAATAGTTATTTTTTTTGTCAAAGATATGTATAATTGGATTTGAATTAAAAAATTTTTATTTCTTTTTTTAATAAATATACAGTATATATTTTTTCATTATATTATTTTTCTTAATAATCTTGTTATAATATATATATATATATTCACAATAATCTGAATTGTTCTTTTAAGCCAATATTCTCAATATTCTCTAATTAAGATAAGTGGTTTTCTTAATGAGATAGCAGTAAACAGAAAATTTTGTATAATATTTTTTTGTATCTTTTAATTAAAACTATTGAAAAACCTATTCTAAAAGTTATTATACACTCTCCTTTTTTTTATATTTTGCTAAGGTAATAATAATCTATTACTAAAAAACTCCATAGAACAATAAAAATTCATTTTCCATCTATACAAATATGGCTATAATGCGCAAAGAATCTTGTACACGGTCCTAACACATCGAATTTTCTCATTAACACCAAATCATATGAAATTAATCAGCATATACTCGATCCTTAAATAATGTTCAATCGTGGATATGAAGATGATAGAAAAAATATTCTTGCTAGTGATGACAAACAAAAGGTACAACCCAAGTGTATTCACAGTTCAATATTCTCGTAATCAAATTCAGCGAATCTCGAAAAATCGAGTGTACAAATACAAAGTAAATTAATTAATGTTATTATTCTAAAGCAATATAAAGGGTTTGTACAATATATATTTGGAAATTTCACACCAAATCATTGTAAGTACACCTGCACAGGCGCGGTAAGGATGCTGCGCAGGGAACATTAACCCGCGATCTAATATAGCAACTTAAAAATACCTGCTTGATCTTTTTTATTCTGTTTTCATAGGTTTTTTCTTTGTTTTGACAATATTTCGTTTGCTGCGGCAATTAATGCGTTCCGCAATTTTACAGCGGTCAAGGGCTTTCGTCATGTAGGAGAAGAGAAATGCTTTCAATATCAGGTTTAATATTGATTCCATGAATAATAGAAATCAATTACCTGATTAATAAAATAGACTTCTTTATCAAGTAATCCGATTTTCTCGGAAATCTCGACGTGTTTCAGAAGGAATGTGAGACAAATAATAAAGGTATTATTCTCTTTAACGATTTTAAAAATGGTATGAATTTGCTCGGCGCGGATACTCGACGAATCGAGAATTATTGTGTTAACTTCATCTGGTCTTATGACATCAGGAAAAGTATAGGTGTAGGATCGCATTCCGAACTCATTAAGAAAGGCAATGACTCTTTTTACTATTTCAGAATCTTCGCCAGATCGGACTACACCAACTTTTAAGTGATCAATATCGGCTTGAGCTTGTATTTTGACATAACGTAATGGCAGAGGATTAAGGTTGTTTTCATTTTGTTCATCTTCCGTTATTCCAAATTCTATCGGAAGTTCTATGTTAAAAGTGATAGAGGAAGTTGATGTGTTCTGATATTGGCCCTCTGGGGCGTTTGTAAACGCGAAAGTGCCGCCAATTGCATCGATTATTGTTTTGAGAAACCTTGGCAGAATATACGTCAAATAAAATCTTTTGGGCAGGAATTAAGTGCGAAACAAATGGCTAAAAGTTACTTGATCTCCGAATTCCCATGAATAAATTCCTAAAATCGATGAAAAACTGTTTAGTTTGTGAAATTCAAGTTGCTATTGTCAAGTAGAAATATGAAATTTCTGGTTTAACTGTGTTTTTAAAGTCCCCACTCGCTACGATCTCAAATATCAAAAATGGATCACATGATTCATAATTGTAACTGGATGGGTTTCCTCGGTGTCTCACGTTAAGTAAGACCTTCCCACTCAGAAAAATGTTCAGCTGTTAAAAAAAAAAAAAAACTGACGAAAAATAAGGATGGGTCCGACAATCAAACAGTAACACGTGTAAGTATAAATTAAAAAAAGCATACCAAAATTCCCATCGACTGGAACGATTTTATCATTTTATTCAATTCATAAATAGAAATAGAAATGACAATGATCGATCATATTACGTTGAAAACTCACGTTGATTATCGTTTGTTTTATCACGCCAACATCCCCAACACATATTGACTGTGAAAATGGCACTTGATAGTTGAAGTCGAAATCAATCCCTTGAACTTCAAAAAGAAGTTCCATTCCTGAATGATTTAATCAACCATTAGAAAAAATTTTTATCGAAAACTCTAAATATGCAGAATTTACCATCGCAGACTTGTTCGCTAAGTAAGTAAAGATCAAATTTCTTAGGGTTGATAGTGATCAAACCGGCATCTTTATAATATGAATTTTTTCAAGTTTAAAATTTAATTCGATGGTGATATGGCGGCAATCGATTCCATGATGTATTATGTATGCACGTGCTTTTCTTACCTTGACTCCACTGAATAAATAAATAAATAAATAAAAATAAAAACAGACAATTCGGATCGTTTTGAAGAAACTACTCATAACCCACCTCATTGGTTAAGTATAAAGCATGGTCAGCCATATGAAGAACATTTATTCCAGCATTTTGAATCGCCCGAATAAGTGCGCGCTGCGCGGATGACAATGGAGTTTCACACAGTATTTCAGTACTTGCCAAAATCCCATGTATGGGCGTCCTTATTTCTATGATCATTTAAGACAACGAACAATAAGTAATAATTTTCTTTTCGACAAGTTTTTGGCGTGTAATTTTCTTCACTCATGAATTACCGTGACTAATCATTTGCATGAACGTTGTTTTCGCCTGGCTTTCTACATCGGCCTAGCAAATGTATGCGCTCCACCCATTATAATTTTTAAATGTGTAGGTAGTGTGGAAGAATGAAAAACGGTGCAATGGTGAATACCTTTACTGTTCTGAGCGTTGACGAGATTTCACGCTCCTTGGAAAAAGCGGCTGATATAGAAAACATAATAATGGAAATGATCAGAGAAACACTTCGCCAACGCGGTATCTCTTTACTTGGTATGGTCATCATCGCAGGCCTGTTCTCGATGATTTTGTGAGTGAAAAAATTCTTTTGCAACCAATCATATTATTCGGACCAAGGTTAAGTAATTTCTCACCAAAATGTTTCAATCACAAAAAGAAAAATCATGAGTGCTGCAGTAACCCTTCCAAATTTACGTCCCGCCACGATGTAGCTACAATTCAGGTATCTCGTATCAACTTTCAAAGTACCAGTGATGACTATATGAAGATGATCAAATGATACCTAAAAAGTGGAACAAGAAAGAGACCTCCACCTCCAACATTGAAATCTGAAATTAATAAACGTTGTAAGTATATAATCATCCAAAATTGGTTTTTTTAAAAAAAAAAGTAAGAACTAATCACCTTTGTCGTTCTTGTTTTTATCGAGATACCGCGAACCCAAGACATGTGAATAAAAAATGATTGTAAAGCTTGTAGCTATTATTCTCGCGCAACACGTTGTCGAAACACGATTGTTATGCAGACTATAGATAAGGGCTAAAAAATAAGTGTTATGATACAACATTATCAGGTTTCGATGCTTAGAGTTTCGCATAATAATAAAATCATACTCGCAAAGACAACAGCCAAAGCGACAAAATAGTTCAATACATCCGAAATAAGATCCTGAGATTGCCAACAAAATAGAGGCGCAAGGGAAACGATATACAGAGCCATTGTAATTGTCACTGCAAGTTGTCGGAGAGTTTCTCTAGCCTTTCGTTCATCTGGCGAAATATCTCTACTGCGTTGTCGGGTAGGATTCCTGGAAATCTCCTCAAAGGGATCTATCATTTTACTTGAGAGAAACGAATACTTTTATTGAAAGAATTATTCAAAAAGAAATAGGCATTCTTTAAAAAAATTTTATTAGACTATTTATTATATTAATATCTGCTTTAATGACTACATCATCTTCCATTCTAATCGATAATGACCGCCACAAAATGTTTCTGAAATATTTCATTTTTTTTTAATTCATACATTTCATTTCAAAAACAAATACAGTACATACTGTATGTACGCGATCTATTTTATCACGTAATAAAAATGTCACACTGAAAGCAGTGTTATTATTAAACAACGGCTTGTCCATTGATAACTGTTACATCTTTTTTTTATTACATTATTTACAGTATTATGCGACGTGATAATCAATGAACAAGCCGTTTAACAACATTTCTGACAGTAACTTTAATTGTATCATATTTACAAGCTTACAGTATATCATTTCGAGTATCATTCACCTTTTTATAATACTATGTTTAGTCATTCCTTGATGAAAAAATAGGTTTGTTCTAAAAATTATTAAAACTATCGATATACTGTAAATTAATCTAATTCGTGTATCTAACATCATCAATCAATTATACTATTGTTACATCCATTAATGAGAAATATTTATTTATAGGAATGTCTGACGATTTTTTATTTATTGTTTGTTTTTTTTTCATACAGTATATCACAATAAAATTTATTACTTGGATGTAATAAATAATTTTAATGAAGAAATCTTTATTATTACGCGTCGTATTTATTTACAATCAATAAAATGATTATTAGTTCGCATATATGCAGTATAGATTTAATATTGATTCTATTATTGCGTAACATTTTTTTTTTTAAAAAAATAAAAAATAAATAATAATAACGTTATTATTAAGTTGTTTAAATTTTTATAAATGGTTACAAATAATTTTTTTTTTAAAAAAAAGCAATATTCAAACTATTTATATTAATTCAATAGAATATAACAAAATAATTTAACAAGATTAATAAAATTATAATTAGTTATGTAAGGCAAGAGTAATACGATAACTTAATAATACTAATATATTTTAAAGTTAAATTTTTAGCTAGTTGTATTGTGATCAACAATTTATAAAGCATTGGATAAATTGTTGATTTCGAATTTCTTAATGAAAATTTGCCTAATTTGTCAATTGACTTATTAATTACTATTTTATCTTACTGCTATTTTTATTATTTAATCCTATCCATTTGTTTGTTTGTTTATTGATTTCATTGAACTAATTATTATTTCTTTCTTTATTTAATAAATTGTTATGATATGATAGAGGGCATAAATATTTGGCTTATTGTACTCGATTTTCTTAGATTAATAGATCACGCATTGACCTAAAAAAAAGATAACATATTATTATAAACCACCTTTAAATATGAAGGATATGGTTTATTTTTTAAAGAATGTAATTTTTTTTTATGCTAATGTTCGATAATGAAATATACCGTAGGTTTTAACTTAAATATTGCTTTCGCATCATACAGTTCCACGCGTTTTTTGTTTTTGTTTTTTTGTTAAAAAAAAATATGATATAATTTTTGGTATCATCGTGGCCAGACCTTAAAACTTATAAAAGAAGAATCCGATGCTCTAGTAAAACTCCAGTTTAGGGTTAAGAAGATGTATGGAAATAACCAAGTAAATCAAATAAAGTAGATTACTTATAACTTCTCGGGCTTTTCATCTTCCACATAACATGTATAAGAAGCAGAAACCTCATCTTTGTTGGACTTGATCAATCCAAAGGTGTTAACTTGTGATGAAGGCATGACGGATGGATTTGGATTTTTCGTATCTTGACTCAAATGCGCGCTTTGCGGAACGGAAATTATATTCTGTCGTGTCACATTCGCACTAATCCGATTTTTGCTGGATGATGATTGAAATAGTTTTGGTATGGTGAGTCCAAACTCAGTCATCACAAATACAGTGAGTGCACTGCTAAACAACTCAATATAAGTATAGTCTGGCAAATTATTATTTACGAGGACTAAAATTCTATAAACGCTCATTGAAATTAAAAATGAAAGATCGAAGGTGAACATTAATGTTTGATATCGACGAAGTCTTAATAGTCGTTGACTTTCCGAATCGGTGCTGTGACGAAGGCCCAGGGTTTGAAATAATTTCACGTAGAATACACTCTCGGAGAAAATATAATAGAATCTAAATATAGGAGCCATTCCATCACGAATTTTCCAAACCGTGTCTACTTGAGAACAAGCTGATCCTGTAGTTAATCCATCACACACGATATTATCATATATGTTCGTTGTGAGCACAATAAATAATTCAATTATGCGTAATCCGATCAGGAAGTAATGTATTTTATAATATTTTCTATATGGTTCGAAGACAACCCGGCAGCGTAAAAAGGCAAGATACAATAGCACAGGCTTTTCTACAAAATATGCGAGGTTGCTTATGGTTTGCGCCCAAAGGTTCCATTTATTTCCCAATACGCCATAGTCAGATAGAACCATAAATATTGCGGCAAATTCATTGATGAGCATTGAGATGTTGATTATAGGAAAGTAAATCATCTTGGTGCCTGTACGCACTATGGCCATTCTTAAGCTTGAATGCGCACTAATTGCTATACTGGCTCCTATAAACATAGCCCCGATGAGATTTTCCAAGTCTGACTTTTGGTTTTCATCCGCCATTAATTTTGGAAGGTTAAAAGAATTAAATTAATTAAGGAAAGGAATAAAATGAAAGATGTTACACTCTAGTTAACAATGCGCATTAATGATCTAAATTTTTTCTTATGATTCTTAAACACCGTTTTATAATTTTATAATCTACATGTCATTTATGCGTTAAGTAAATACACATGCACAAACTTCGGCAAATTCCACCAGTCAAGGTACTACTATTTGGGAAGTTTTTTTCGGATGTACGTTAGTAATTTGAAATCATCAGTTTTTGATTACAATCTATCATTTATGGAATACCTGATTTTTTTAAGGGTTTTAAAGAGAAGAATGTGCACAATTGTACCTATGGATATATGTGCTATCCTTTACTGGCATCTACTTTCGTACCTTTCCCAAAAAATTTTCATCCAACCTTATTCGAATATAAATAATGCATTGAAAAATGTTCGTGTCGCATGGTGCCATCGGTGAGTGCCACAGGATGATCCATATACTGTAACGCGTTTAATAGTATGGAAGTTAAAGTCCGGTCTAGTCTAGTTCTAGTCCGGTTTAAAAGGTTTAAAATTAAACTGTAAATCTAGTTAATAAATTCTGTTCAAATGGTAATGTACAGTAATATAATACACAAAATTATAATTGAATTTATTATGTAATATGGTAATGATGAGTCTGTCATTTCATTAAAGACCGCATCGTTGCATGTCGCACTACAGCTAACTATTAGCTAGTGGGTTTACTGGTGTCAATCTAATTAAGTGTTTGGATTTTATTTATTTGTTTTCCCTTTGGTCACGTGATCGCATAAAAACCCCCCCCCCGGAATAAGATATAATTAAATAATACAAGTTAACCCAAACACTTGTTGCGTTTATTAAATTTTTCTTTTTTATTAGAATCAGAATTATTGTTTTGTTTATAGTCATTACTTATATTTTATATATCTAAATTTCTTATAATTTATTTATTAAAAAAAAAAGTTATATGACATTAATAAAATAAAAACATGATTATCAAATATACCAGGGTTCTGACAATAAAAATAACAATTTTGACTTGAATTTGACTTGAATTTTTTTTGTTTTTTTGTTTTTTAACTTGAATTATTTAAAGACGAAATAATATTTCGATTATAAACCTTACAATAATATTATTTCTTAATAATTCGGTTTGTATAATATCTATTTAATAATATTGCTTTGATATTAATTACATATTAATTTGTCATTCAAATTTGACAAATAAATTTTTTTTTAATTTTTTCATAAGTATAAATCATGCATTATTAATATGAACTTCTTTAATACTAAATATATAAAGAGATATTTTCTTATTTCAAGTTTTATATTGCAAACTCTATAATTATTATATATTTTATATTATTATATTTTTTTATTTCTGATCCATATATTTAATATCAATAGCTTATTATATATTGGTTTAATTTAAAACTTTCTTTTTATATTTTTTAAAAAATATCATCAGTCTATTTAATTTGAAATTATTTCAAAAATTATATTGATTATTATATTATACTAAATAACAATAATTTGTATATATTTGTTATTTGTTAAAAACTATATAATTATTAATAGTTAAATAACTTGTTTAACAGATTGATTTACATACTTATTATATATTGTTTAAGTATATTTTAACTTTTTTGAAATTAAATTTAATATTTTTTTATTTTAAATCTCAAAAATATTATATCAAATTAATTAATTATTAACTTTAGATTCTTTCTTATAAATATTAAATTGAATATATTATTATAGTTTTGATTACCTATATAAATAATAACTTTTTTATCTCTTAAATTATAAAAATCACTATTAAAATTATTATAGTTTTGCCTTGCTTAATAATAATCAGTTTTGAATTTCATATTAAAAATTATTTGTAAAAATTGATCTTTAAATTTGAATTCAAACAATATATATATATATTTTGTAAGTAAATATTATTTTTTTATTTTATTTGTATATAATAAAATATATATCGCACTAGTCCAAGTTGAATTATTTGACTGCTGAATTACAGCTAATTAAATTCAAATTTATTAATAAAAGTTTATACCAAAGTTTTGTTATTTGGTCTAATTTATACCATTTGGTACTTAAAAAAAATTCAATAATTCAATAAAAAAAAATATAATATTTGACAATAAAATTATTTGATAAAAAAAAATTATTTGATAAAAAAAAATCATTTGACAATAAAATCATTTGGCAAAAAAAATCATTTGGCAATAAAATCATTTGGTAAAAAAAATCATTTGGCAATAAAATCATTTGGTAAAAAATATTTCTAATTAAAAAATATTTGGCAATAAAGTTATAATATTTTGTAATAAAAATTATAACATTTGACAAAATTATTTAGCATTATATATTTTGATAAAATCCAATTATATATTTTCAATAAAAAAATTGTATTTATAATGATATTTGGCAAAATTTAATTAATACTTGATAAATTTATTAAAAATGTAAAAAATTTGAAATTTGAAATTTGAAATAATTATTTG